GAGCTCTGTCATATTCTATGATTGTCTCTGAAGAGCGCGAGTCCTCACACGAAGCGCTGTGTGAAGTACAGACTGTCCGGATTGTCAACACATCCCACCGCTGTAGATGAGACGCAAACTACGGTTTCTCGACTGGATAACCAGTCTCGCTAGTAAAGTTTTGATGGATGAAGACTGCAATCAAGGTAAAGACGATTGCGGTGGCGTACAGGAGTCGTACAGTAAGCATGCGTGAGTCCGTTATAATAATGCGTGTACTGATCGCACATTGTATTTATGCACAGGCACAGACATTTCCGTACATTGTTTCCACAAACATTTACGATAGTGTTTTGATTTGTCATGTTTATGTTGCTGTGTTTAGTTATACTGAATGGATCCGTGTACTGTAGTAGATATATGCAGTTTATTGGTTTTTGGCATCTCCATGTGGTCCTGTTCGGTATCGCAACTTGGCTTCTCTAAAATGTAAAAAAGCTCTTTGCAGTTGCACTGTACAAATAGGCTACTATACAATTCAGATTTTTTTTAAGCATTTTTTTTTTCTTTCATATGTGCTTATATGCGCTCATTTTGGGGTCTTTTTTTGGAAAGACATCTAAAATTATCTTGAAAAAAGCTTGCAGAAAATACAGATTTTTGAGAATCACCCTTCAATCTTTCGGTTTTCTTTGCTGGATATAGCAAATGATGACAAAATAAACATTTGGAACAAGATAAATGGTCTATGCTTAATTTCATGAAGTGTGTGATTAATCGCGATTAATCACAGAAAAAGGGTGTGATTAATTAGATTAAATTTTTTTATCAATTGACAGCCCTAAAAAAAACCTAAGTTGAGGTTTATTAATGGTGCACTGAATGAGGTCTGGCTTATGAGGTGCAAGAATTTCTTCAAATAATAAGCAGGAGGAAAAACATGAGAGACGTGACAGGCAGACAAATGACAAGTGAGGTCTGTTCTGTACCCGTTTGTGGGATCTTGTGGCACATTCCTCCAGCATGTCTGCTGCCTTCATCTTGCCCTGTCTGTGGTACAGAGTGGCTAGATTCTTCAGTGTCGTATTTATGATCGGACTGCAGACAAAACAACACATCCAGTGAGGAAGGATACAAAACCAAGAGAACAAAAAAAAAAAAAAAAAAAAAAAAAAATCAAGCAAATGTCAAGAGTGCAACAAAAACTTAATAGGCTTAATTCTTGATTTATTTCTTTTGATTTTGTGATTTTTTTTTGGCATTTCGACACATTCATCTTCTTCATGTATTCCATGTCTGGTTAAAAACGCTGTTTGACGATGTGAGGACTATATGAATATATTCCATCAGGTGGTTTGTGATCATTAATATATGTGTCTGTCTGATTTATGGCACCAAGATCTTACTAAGAATCAAATGCAGGCAGCTTTAAGAACATAATGCTCTCCTGCAGCTTTGTGATGTGTTTGCGGTACCTGTTGACTTTACTGGCTTTGTACCCGCCTCCATGTTTTTCGTACAGCGTGTTGTCACTGAGTTCCCCCTGAATATCAGCAGACAGACAGTTTGAGTGACAGCAGATGGGCAGAAACACAAACACTCGTTTCATCCACAACACACACCTTGCTCACCTCCTCTCTTTCCTCAGCGTGCATCCAGATGGGTCTGTTTTCAGCTGGAAACAGACACACAAGTAACATCATTACTCATCATGCTGTGGGACAGTAGGCTCTCTAATACAGCCTCATGATTGGGCCAGTTTTCAAAAGGAATGTGACAAGCCAAATGTGTCATCTCATAATGTTTGCAGTCATTATGTCTGCAAACATTAACCATTAATTAGAAAAAACAAAAACAAAAAAAATCAAATTTGTTAAAAACTGAAGCTCAGAAATGTGCTTTATTGTTTTATTAGATGTGTCTCAGGTTCAGCCCCTGAGCACAAGGGATGTGTGCCTCTGTCCATCTTTGTTACCCTTTAACACTGATCTACTATAGTCTGATTAATACTGTAAGTGCAAAGTAAAGTAAATTTAAAGAGAAAAAGAAAAAAAACTTCAAAACTTTCATTTTTATGTCTTATTACAGAATTTATAACAAATAAGATGTTTGTTTTATATAAAAGCTACAGCAGCATCCATTTCAGATCTATCCGAACGCACCATTTCAACATTGTGTGGGCTGCACCCCTGTTTGTACTTTACCTGTTCTATCAAAAAATTAAGAAAAAAAAATTGACAGCTCACCGTCCACCAATCCCAACTCCTTCTCATGAGCACTGGTCAGAATCTCTTTGTAAAGAATCTCAGCTTCTTTATATTTGCCTTGTTTGAAAAGGCAGGATGCCTGCAAAGAGACAAGGAATATTTCACTGCTTCATACAATGGAGAGTGAATGGAGTGAATGTGAGCATGGCTGAGGATTTGACAGGTATGAATCCAAGTGTGTGGAGAACAACCAATGGCTGATAAGAGAACATCACATCAACTCCACAGAAACAACACAAGTTTTAGTGGAAATATTCATATATTCATTTCCTCAGTGACACACCTGCAGTTTTGATTAATGTGGTCTAATGTGGTCTATAGAATCTCACATTGTTTTCTAGCAGATCAAGCGGTTTGACAAACTAACCAGGTTGTTCTTGGTTTCGGCCACATTGGGGTCATCTGGGCCGAGTTTGCATTCATAGATCTTCAGAGCTCTGCGGTAATAACATTCCACCTCCTCAAACTTGCCCTGATCCTGACAAACCTGGGCCAGATTATTCAACTGCTTCGCTACATCTGGATGATCTTTCCCCAACACCTGAAAGACAGACAGAGAGACAGACAGGTCAATCATGTCCCTTCATTCATGTGGTCTGTGTATAATGACTCTAAACTGTATAACTGTTTGCTAATTTTCTACTTTTGTGTTTCTTGCATCACATTTCATTAGACATGTTAAAATATTTCACACTTAAATCAATAGTCCTGCTCTATGTCAAGGTTTGTGTGGGATTGTCTGACCCAACCAGACAGAGTTTAGTCACAAATAACAAAAAAAAACAGTTATGGTACTAAAGTAAAACTGACATGCAGAATTTCACATATGATGTGACAACAGGACTTTCACTGACCTTCTCTCGGATCTCCAGCGCTCGTCTACACAATGGCTCAGCCTCCTTATACTGGCCTCGTTTCCCGTACAGCACAGCCAGATTATTGAGAGTAGCTTCCACCTGAAACACAATGACACACAACATCTTGATGAGATACAGTATGACATTTCACCTTTATGATACATGAGCAAATCCAGCTGACCATTTGAGGTTTGTATTTTAGAGCTCAATAATTCATAATTAACATTCATCTAATGCTCCAAATTCATTAACCACTAAGACATCTGAGATGCTTTTGAAAGAATTTGCATCCTTTCACCAGCCTTTGCTTTGGGATTTAATAAATGCATATAATTGTAATAAAACACTTTTGAGCTGTGATAAAGTCTTTCTAATTACAATTATATTTTCTAGCATCTCTTTTGTTGCTATTTTCTACTCATAAAAGATGTTAAATAATTTCCCATCAATTGCTCAAATCAACATTTATTTCACTTACTGCAGGATGGTCTTTCCCAAGTGTCTTTTCTCTGATGGAGAGAACATCATTCAGCAAGCGATGAGCTTCTTTATATTTTTGCTGATCTCTGAAACAGACAAACAGAGATATTTATTCCTATAATTCAGATGCATGATGTTATTGATTCTGCTGTTTCTTAATTCTGAGTGGAAAAGCCACTTTCAACTCCACTTAAACCAAATGTTAAAATCCAGCGGTCTAAAATTCAGACCGCTGATTCAACAGACATCGTCAATCCAGAATGTGAAGTTGCATTTCTTCATATCATGACAAACACATGCTCCTCATCCTCACCCAGTGAAGCAGGACTTTTTCTCACCTGTACATGAGCGCCAGGATGTTGAGCATGGTGGCCACTTTGGGATGGTCGTGTCCATAGTCTTTCTCCAGCTCCTCCAGAGCCTTTCTGCAGAGCGGCACGGCCACAGCATACCGGCCCTGAGCTGCGTACTCTTTCACTAGGTTATGAAGGGTTCTGCGGCGGGCACTAATCTCATAGTTGCCCTGCTGACCAGCTGCACTATTGTCTTGGAGCTGCACTGCAGAGGTCAAAGGTCAGAGGCAGGGTTAGTGTGAAAGGATTGACAACATCTCACATCTGAGGGTTTAACAGTGACATTCACATACTTCCTTTCATTGTATGAATGTGCTCCTCCTCATCATTGGGAAGGAGATCATTCAATGGGTCCTGGACAGACAGATCTTCTGCAGACTCACTGTTCTGGACGATGTCCTGCATCTTCTTCCAGACTCTGAAGGGCAGGTTGCCCAAGTAACGCGGCACATCAATCAAAGCTCCAGAAGGAGTCTGTGGATCTGGCTGTGATGAGATCTGGACTCTGGAAGAACATTCAGGATCAGAACTGCAGTGACTTTGGATCAGAAGCAGAGAGAGCAGAGATCACTCACCTTTTCATTGAGACTGGAAACTCCTGCAGAACAAACACACCATTGATCATCAATCAATCAATCAATCAATCAATCATCTGAAATCAGACCTTCAGAAAGCAGACGTCACTGGCTTTCATCATCTCCTCCATGTCTTTGATTGACTGTGAAAGAGCTGAGATGTGTCTGTTGATCTTCTCCAGCTTCTCCTTCATCATCTGCTTCTTCTGCTCCTCTTCCTCCCTCAGTGCAGTGATTGTAGCTTCTTCTTCATCTCTGAGAAACTGATGAAGCTTCTCAAACTGCTGTTTAATCTGACGCTCTGTGTGCTCAGCTTGAGACTGAAATCAAATCACTTTCACTTCAATCATCTAAAAGACACAATCTATTCTGGAGCAGCATGAAGAGTGAATGACTAAATGTGGGTTAGTTAACTACAACTTTAAATTTACTAACACTGTAGCAGAAGATGTTCAGTGTCTGCAGGTGCAAATACACATTGTACACAGCAGGGTGCATATATACAAATATACATCACTACTTGATAAAGATAAAGGGTAAATAAAGGTTTTTTTTTTTTCTTGACCATAGATGGCACAAAATCTCAAATCAGCACTTTTGATGAATGGCCTCACTCTTTGTGAGATTTGTGAGATTTAGTCAGTCAAAGCTGTTTTGAGATTAATTTATCTAGTTTTGTGCCTCTGGAAAAAAGTGATCTATGGCATTGTATTATGCTGAATATTAAAGGTTTTTACATTAATTTGTTAATGAGGGATCTGTCGACACATCAGCATTTTGTGGAGTACAAGTTATAGTTTTCCTGTTTTTAAGTAAAAAGATCAAACTAGACCCTTGGGGTAAAATGGGATATTTTCACCAAATTAGCAACATTGCTTTAAACATCTTTTAAACATCTTTTTGCTCATGTTTTCCTCAGGTATAGATGCATATTGTCAATACAGTTTACAAATATGATTATATATCTACATGCTCTTAAATGATTAGCTGAATGCTGGACAATAAATGTTGGGGCGCTACTAGCCAATATATGATTCCTGCTTGAGCGTAGTCCTGCCAACTAGCAACCAACATCAGAAACTTTGTTTACGCAAATGGTTATATTTCCCCTCGCACTGCCATTATGCGAAATAAACTTCTTAATACGAATTAAGTCATTTTTAAAAGTGAGAGGAACACAACGATCCAGTTATAATGGTTGCTGTTGCCCTGAAATAATTTGTATATACAACAGTCATCAATATCTTTCATCTGTTTCCCATAATAGAAAGATAATACATTTTAAATGTATATTTCTAAAATGTAATTCCATATACTTTGAGTAAACGGTAACACTTTACAATAAGGTTCATTAGTTAACTACTTTAGTTAACATGAACTAAGCATGAACAATACATCTACAGCATTTATTAATCTTAGCTAATGTTAATTCCAACATTTACTAATGCATTATTAAAATCAAAAGTTGTGCTTGTTAACATTAGTTAATGCTCTGTGAATAAACATGAACTAACAATGAACGATTGTATTTTATTAACTAACATTAACAAAGATTAATAAATTATGTAATAAATGTATTGTTCATTGTTTGTTCATGTTAGTTAATACATTAACTAACATTAACTAATGGAACCTTATTGTAAAGTGTAAACTATGGTGTAAATTACTTTATGTAACGGTGTGATGAAAACTTAAATAATTATTATATTTTATCTAAAATACATGCATTCAACGTTTCTGTCTTCTAGTCAAAAAAGGTCAAATTTGGAAATGTCAAGAATCAGTGCTCACCTTGATGTGTTCAACTGTTTCTTCAAACTGTCCTTTCATTGTTTCTCCATGTGTAAGTTTCTCTTGTAAGGACTTCAGTGCTGTATTGAGCTCCTCCTGGAATTTAAAATGAAAATCAATATAACACTGGAGACTTATGTAATATGTTCATGTAATATATATGAGCGAAATGGTACTGAGAAGTTTAGCTTTAATCCTCAGAAATAAATCTGACTCACCTTATATGATGACACAACTTCACTGATGGGTCTGAATTTATGATTGTCATGTTGCTGTGAAGTAAAGCACACTAAACACACCGGCTGTTTGTCCTCCAGACAGAAGAGTTTGAGTTTCTCACTGTGTAAACTGCAGAGCTCCTCAGATCCTGATGAACGGCTCTCTTTTCTCTCCATCAGGAACGACTCACACAAGTTTTGTAACACAAGATTTAATGGAGGTTCATGTCTTGACAATCTCCTGCAGACAGGACACTCCTGAGTTTCCTTGGTTCTCCAGAACTGTTGAAGACACTCTTTACAGACACTGTGACTACATGATAAAACAACAGGATCCTTGAAGATTTCATAACACACAGGACAAGAAAAATCATCTGCAGACAGTGAAGCCATTTTCACTCTTTGAGCTCCAGCGATCTAAACTTTACTTTCACTTTCTGAATGATGTTGCAAAAATGAATAACCACAAGAATCACAAATATCTGCTGTCTGTTTAGAAACAAACTTCTCAAAAATCCTTCTTGAAAGTATTTCTCTTCTTTCTCTACTGATCACTAATTCCTTTATGTTTTTGTCGACAGTCAGTATGACAGAAAGGAGAAATATTAAGACAGTCACTTCCTGGTAAGTGCTGTAAGAGGGTGGAGTTTCTGGTTCTTTATCATACTGCCTGTTTGGGTCTCATGTTTGTTAACTCTTTGTCTGCCTTATTTGACCCTGGATAGTGAATTAAAATATTAAAGAAGATTTGTCATCGGACATCTGATGTTAAAATACTTCAGTACACGGATACATGACATGTCTTTATGATTATATTTGAAAATCTCTATTTTTGTACCCAGAATAAAGAGAGATCAACCCTCCACCTTGCCAGATGTTTCTATAAAGAGCTTCAACCCAAGTGTCAAGAATCCCGACAGAAACCATCTAAAGTGGTGGCATCACAGGATAAACTGAGCTCTGACCTGATGCTTTACCAACTATATGAGGGTTTTAATTCCAGACTAGAAATATAAAAATATATTTATTTAATAATAAATATAAAAATAATATCTGAACAGCAAAGGACTGTTTACAATTCTGAAACATACTCAACATAAAAGGCCATATTATCAGCTGATTGACACATTATTACACACGGGATGAAGGGATGGAAAGAAACTGTTCTGGTGCTTCAGTTCTCTATGAATACGCTTAAATACACTTAATACACTGTCCATTTAAAGTTAATGACAGAATTAGGGAATTTTTTAACTGTCCACTTGGATTAAACATTGGAAACATGATAATGTTTACTGACTATCGAATGGTAAGATACTAAGATGGGCAAACCACACACACCAGAAGAATTGCAAGACAGTGTCAGTGAAGGTGGTTGTGAATGTGTGTAGATGTGTGTTAGTTACAGGATCAGAGAATGACACTGTTCCTCTGTCACAGTCCAGATCAACTCTCACACGCTCAAGATCCTGTTCAAACTGTCTGTATGTCACACTCCAGACATCAGTATTAAAGGGGTCATATGATGCGATTTAAATTTTTCCTTTCTCTTTGGAGTGTTACAAGCTCTTGGTGCATAAAGAAGATCTGTAAAGTTGCAAAGACTAAAGTCTCAAATCCAAAGAGACATTCTTTATAATGTGTTTTTTTAACCTTAAACCGCATAAACACATTTCATTACACCAAATACACCAAATAATGTTCTTTTTAGCAACATCATATGACCCCTTTAAAGAAATCCCGTCCCTTCCTTTGGTTTGATGCTGTAGTTACTCCAACACTCCAGCATAGACTCTCTTTAACCTCCACATCCCAGCAATATGTTCCTGAGTTAAAACCCTCTGAACCCAGAACACAGGAATAATCATCAAATCTTTCTGGATTATCAGGAAGGGGTTGGTTCTTACTGTCTTTCGCACTGGTCAGATCATCAGACAGGATGAGAAGTGGATGAGCAGTGTTTGGATCCAGAATCACAGGAGCTGAAGAGACACTATCAACAGCTGCTTTTAATCTGATGTTCATATAATGATCAGGAGTGAACCAAACACAGATTATGAATTATGACACTCGTCCTATTGATCAAACACAGACATCTTTAAATCTGTGAATCTTCCCTCATGCATCATTTCCAGTGTGTGTGTGTGTAAGAGCTCTGGGCCCGTATTTATCAAGCCTCTGAGTATTACTCTCAAGAACGCTGGTAAGAATTGACTTGAGTGTAAAAAAAATTCATGGCTCAGAGCTGCGCTTAAAACTTAGTTATCTAGCATATCGGTTGTAATTTAAGCGATGTGTAGGACTAAATCTTAAGTGTCAGTCTTAGAGTTGATTCACGACACTTTGCTGTGCCACAAACGGGATTTTGGATGACGAAATACGCATGGACCAATCACTGAATAGATTTCCTTATTTAAGAATATTCTCAGATAAATTCACATTGAATGGTTAAATTCCTAATAGGAGTTTACATTTAACACACATTTGACAATAAAGAATTTTCAAGAGAATACATAATGTTAAGGAAACGAATCGTCATAACAACCTTAATTTAGGGTTGTGCCGATAGACGATAGTATCGACGATAGTCAGAGATATCGCCTGTGGCTTTTTTCTTAGACGACAGCAAGACGATTATTATTATTATTATCCGTCAAAAATATAGGCGCCTATCTTTAGTGATGCAGCGCGGAGAGCCGCTTCAGAAACTTGCCGCGGCGCAGCTGGTGAGTAACCAGGATCAGCTCCGGTGGCCGTGTCGGAGCCGTAACGCACCGCAGACGTGTGCAGTGTAAATTAGGGGTAAGAGATTTATTCATGATACAGTGTAGGTAGCTTCACTGTTTATAACGGGAGTGCTTTTAAAGAGCATATAACACTCGCGCTAGACTGAAGTCAGTTATGATGTTCTTTGGTAATGTAAATATTCTTTGCTCGTTTCTGTTTGAATAACTGAGGATGTAACTGTTTTATTAACTGCTCGTCGTCAAACATTTCAAGAACATTCTTCCTCTCCTGAAAGATTCGCGCACGTCTCTGTCTCCTCAGCGCCATCACAAGCCCCTGCTGGCAACTCCTAACCACTTGAGAGACCTCTCGAGCTTGATAAATACGAGCCCTGGACTCTGGAAGAACATTCAGGATCAGAACTGCAGTGGCTTTGGATCAGAAGCAGAGAGAGCAGAGACAGCAGCAGATCACTCACCTTTCCATTGAGACTGGAAACTCCTGCAGAACAAACACACCATTGATTATTAACAGCTCAATCAATCAATCAATCAATCCATGATGTGTCGAGTTCCTCCTAGATTTGAAAAAAAAAAAAACTGAATATAGTGAAGAGAATACAATGATCACACAGTGCCATGAAAACGTATTTGTCTGTATTTATCCTGATTTCTTCTGTTTTTGTGTTTATCTCATAGTAAATGGATTGAAAAATTAAAACCTAACATAAAAAGGCAACCGGAGTAAAAACAAAATACAGTTTGTAACCATTAGTTAATTCAAAGGTCTTACGCAGTAATACACTTATACACTAAATAAAATCCAGAAATTAAGAGTAAGCAGGTAACCGAAATATGTCAGTCCTGGCAAAAGCAGTCTCATGTACAGTACTCCAAAGAAGCACAAGCAAGAGCCATTATCTCCAAATGGGAACAACTCAACACAGTAGCAAATCTTCCCAGAAGTGGCTCATCCAATATGTCACAAAAGACCCAAGGACAACATCGAGGGAATTGCATTTTTCTTCTCTCTACCAGAAAAGGTGATTGTCTGATCATTCAGTAAGTCCAATTCTGTTTTAGACATGATTTCAATGGAGATGCTGTAGAAGGATGTTAAATTGGCTTTTTATGCTTGAAAACTGTCCAGTGGCTGAACTAAAGCAGTACCGCAAAGAAGAGTGGGCCAAAATCCCACCGCAGCGCTGTGAAAGACTGATCTCCAGTTATTACTGCTAAAGGGCCATTTAGTTTTTTACATGGGCAAAAGATGTAGGACAGCTTTTATTTTTGCTTAAAAACTGTAATCTGTTTACTCAGGTTGCCTTTGTATATTTCATTTGAAGATCTAAAACGATTTAGTATGAGATATAGACAAAACAGTGTATCAGTATGGGCCAAATATTTTTTCACAGCACAGTATATGTCATGTGAAGTTGAGTAAAATGGCAGCGAGAAATGTCTGTACTTATGACTATTTATTGTTTACATGAAACAAGAGACACTGTCTTACCTTATATGATGGAACAACCTCATTAATGGGTTTGAATGTATGATTGATGTGTTTTTGTGAGTTAACACACTCTCCACACACAGGCTGTCTGTCCTCCAGACAGAAGAGTTTGAGTTTCTCACTGTGTAAACTGCAGATCTCCTCAGATCCTGATGAACGACTCACACAAGTTTTTTAACACTAGATTACATGGAGGACGATCATTTGAGGATCTTCTCCTGCAGACAGCACACTCAGTTTCTTTGGTTGAGATCGTGCTCTAGGGGGAACCGGCCCTGTTGAGGGGGCACAAATCAGATCTTTTGCCCCCTTGTGGTGCCAGACCTGCTGAGATGTGTGTTTCTACTGTATGTCACTAGATTAACAGAAATTGTGCTTTAATGTCTTCGAGTCCCCAGTGAGCAGCCGAATGTGACTGTGGGAAGGACAAAAACTACTGAATCAGACTCAGCTGACCAAACCCTTCCTTCTGTGACAACAAAACTAATGTCCAAATGACAGTAATGTATAGTCATGTATTTCATTCAGTGGTCATTTGTCTGATATACGTGACTGGTCGCATCTGGATGTTAACTGAAGTCAAGGGTCAAGAGCCCAACTAAAGCAAACACTAACCAACATAATGGTGACATTAAACAAAACATTTTCAATTAACCACAAGTGAACAGCACTATATGAAGTGTTTTGAGTGACATGGAGTGGGGAATGAGTCACAGAACCATTATTTGATGAAATTTGAAGAAAAGAAAAAAACCCCCCCCTGAAATTTCAACCACAGCCACCAGATGGTTCTAGAGCATTACTTAATTTGACATTTCCACATAGGTATAGATCTTTTCACACGTTATTTTATTTAGACGTTATAAAATAATTATTATAAAAATTAAAATGACTTTGTCAAAGTTTAAAATTTTTTTGGACTGAAGTATAATTTTTTTGCAATTACATGCAAAAATCACAGTCATTTGTGTATTAGTGCGTTTATGTGTGTTTGCATTTGTTCTCAATCGTGGATGTGTTGTGGTGTCCATCATTTATGTGTGTTGTGCATTGTAGCTGATTTTTATTTGACAAATTATGTAAGAGAGAGCCACTTGTGTAATGTCACTTTTCAATTTCTTATGAGTGCGTTTTGTGGGGGTTCAGTGTCTTGCTCAAGGGCACCTCAGTCATGGTATTGAGGGTGGAAAAGAGCGCTGTATATTCACTCCCCCCAGTACTGAGAATCCAACCTGCAAACTTTGGGTAACAAGTCCGATTCTCTAACCATTAGGCCACGAATGACCTTTTCACATGGACCCTTTTAACATTTCCATATTTCTCAAAGGGGGAGGTCCTCACAGTTGGGTTAACTTCTATAGTGGTCAAAAGAAACTACA